TGGGCAAGGCAGAAGGCTCAGCATCAGTGCCCCCCTTCCTGGTCTTCCAGGGGGCCTCCGCATCGGATGGAAGGAGCGGAGCTCGAGCCTTCTGCTTGCCCTGCCTCCCCTGTACTAGGGCCCAGCCCTCCATGGTATCATCTGGGGGCTGGCTAACAGGGGTCAGGTTGGAGGGCAGGGGCGATGGCTCAGGGATTCGGGGAGGTAATGGTGGGGCAGCACGAGGGAGGGAAGATTCCTTCTGGGGCGGGCCCTCTCCTATGCCCAGCGGTATCCCTGCCGCACCCTCCTCAACAGGTCCTGCCAGATTGCAGGCAGCTGGCAATCAAAGGGAGAGATATTGGTCCCAGGTTAAGCAGGTCACTTTTCCCTGGGTAAGGTAACAGGCGCAGTTCCAGAACAATCAGGAAGTTGCTGGAACCAATTAAGGCAGGCTAATTAGGACACCTGGAGCCAATTAAGAAGTTACCAGAATCATTTAGGACAGGCAGGTTAATCAGGGCACCTGGTTTAAAAAGGACCTCACTTCAGTTAGTGAGGTGTGTGCGAGGAGCTGGGAGCAAGAGGTGTGAGAAGGTGTACTGCTGGAGGACTGAGGCGTACAAGTGTTATCAGACATCAGGAGGAAGGTCCTGTTGTGAGGATAAAGAAGGAACTGGGAGGAAGCCACAGGGAAGTAGCCCAAGGAGTTGTAGCTGTCACGCAGCTGTTACAGGAGCCACTGTAGACAGCTGCAGTCCACAGGGCCCTGGGCTGGAATCCGGAGTAGAGGGCGGGCCCGGGTTCCCCCCATCCCCCCTCATCTCCCTATTTGATACAAGAGGAGGTGACCTGGACTGTGGGTCCCACCAGAGGGGAAGGTCCCTGGCCTATCCCCTGACCCACTAGGTGGGTCAGCAGAGACTGCGGGGATTGTTCTTCTCCCTTTCCCCACGCTGGCCAACAATGAGGTTAGCTGAGTGAACGGCAGGTTTGAGCCACTAGCAAGAGTGGCCAAACTGAGGGCTGCCATGAATCTCTGAGGCGAGCAAATCCGCGAATAGGTGCAGGACCCACCAAGGCACAGGAGGAACTTTGTCACAGTGGCTACTGTGCAGAACCATCCAATTCTCCAGCCAGCAGCCATGGTCCTGTTGCCCCTTCAGTTCTGGCTGACCGCTGCAGATCCAGCAGAGATCACGCATTGGAAAGTTGCTTCCCCAGATTATGCTAAAATAGGCAAGTTTCTCCCACTGTCACTACCACGGCTAGCAATGGTGGGAATGCTAGAGGAGCTCAGCTGCCAGCAATGTTATCACTTTGTCTAACCCTGTTGCGAGTAGGTCTAGATGACATGTGATGGCTAAAATGCTAGCATCCTTCAGGAGCCCACCTCCAGGGGCTCAGGGAAGGGAACTATTGTAATGCTCTTCAAACTCAGAGCCTGTTCTTTGAAGGCACAGGATTCTGTATTACTTCTGAGAGTACAAACACCTGTAGTGCAGAACAGAGAGAGGCTCAGGGGGCCTGGATGAAAAAGAGTTCAAACTAAAATCTCTCAAACACAGTTTAACACGGCTCAACAACTCGACTCAGTAGCACCACAGTGGGCAACATGGTTTAAACTCTTCTGCTCCTGTACAGTACGTAGTGGTCAAGACCAGGCCTAACACAGAGTAAAACAGTTGCAACTTATTTTCTGTAACCACCATATTCCAAGTACTTTGAACCATTTTATATTTAAGCAATAGACGTTTTAGACCTCTGTGCCGGGGTGTCCACCCACACAAGACTGGGAAGGGTTACGGTGGCCGGGGTTGGGGGGGGTGGTCAGGGAAGAGGAGCCAGGGAGCGGGGATTGGTTAAATGAGGCTCAGGTGGACAGGAACAAGAGGGGCCTGTATAAAGCCCGGGAGCTGATAGCAGAGAGGGGTTGCAGGGAAGGAGTCTGCAGTCACTTCCTGGGAGAAGGGAGATGTGTTCAGGCTATAGAGACAAGTACCCTACAGTTGCCCTCTGGGAGGAGGGAGTTGTAGGGCTGGCAAACCCAGAGCGAGGGAGAGCCAGAAAAGTAGGAAAGGCTCAGGGGAAAGCAGCAAGGCATAAGATAGTGCAGACCTAGGCTGCTGATCAGCAAGCCCCTGGGCTGGAACCCAGAGTAGAGGGTGGGCCTGGGTTCCCTTACCTGCCACTGGGGAAGTGGCACAGACCAGGCAGTGAAGAGTGGACTGCCTGGGACAGTTTGCCCCAAAAGACTGTCCTACCCCAGAAGGGGAAACCACAGAGTGATCTGGCCGGAGGGCCAAGTCACAAAGAAGGAGGTTGCAATTCCTGGTGCACGAGAAGGCCTGCAGAGGGAGAAAGTGATGGAGTGTGACCACAGGAAGGGGTGTTGGCCTGGCAGAGCTAATCCCCAGAACTGCCAGGAGGTGGTGCTGTCCAGCGGTGAGTAGAGCACCCTATCACAACCTCATTAAAGACTCAGGGGTCTGGATGGACCAGGGCTCAACTTAACTGCCTGCCCCATACTATGACAACCCCAGCCAGCCAGGGTCTCAAACTGACAATCTGAGGGAACACAGCAGGGGAGGGGAGTCCAAAAAGTTCAACCGTTGTGAAAACGTCGGTTATGAATTTGAGATCCTAGCACTTCCTTTTGTGTACGCTGTACACTGTGCCTTACAGTGAAAATGGGACTTAGGCATATAAGTCATTTTGGTGCTTTTGAGAATTATACACTGAATATAACATGCTGGCATGCAACCAATTGACATAAATAGCGCCAAGACCAGCCAGAGCAATGCAAATCATCAAGATTTCTTATTACATTTCCTTGTAATCGTCAATTATCAGTCCTTTAGCATCTATATCATCACACTTCCAGTACTTCTGCAAGGCGTGAGGCTGCACTTACCTTAAGGCGCTCTTAGGAATGTGATCCCTGCTTGTTCTAATGTTTGGTATGGAAGAAACAAGTTTAAAACATCAAAAACAATTGCTTAAAGTTATTGTTCCCAGTTCTCTTGTGCCAATGTACTTGGACTTACGAAGGAGAAGATGCAGATAGCAGTAGTCCATTAAAATCCGTAATATGTTTCCTTGGTCTCTTGCTAGAAAGACAGCTGATTCTACAAGGGGACTTTCCTATACTGATTTGAATTAACAGAGAGAAATACAGTCCCTGAAATGAGTCTTGCCACCTCTCAGGCCTAGAAGCTCTTGGAGAGTCTGTCCACATGTCAGGTGGCATTTCTGGGTTCTGCAGCTTTTGTGGTTCAGCAAATTCTTCTGAGCCTGTGGCCCTGAAGGTGGCAAGAGACTGTCCATGTGGGTTAAGCACACTCTGACCCTCACCATGCTGACCTCGGTTTATATACCCTGTTTGGGGTCCGGTGGAAGAGGGCAATCCTCTTGTTTCTATTGCCAACTTGCTGAATGTGCTCTCAGATTTCCACGCTCCTGGTTTCTCAGTGGCTTTTGTTGATAGTGTTGACGTGTAACAAATTTCTTCGATGCTTTTCATATCTTTGCATTTTAAGAATTGTATTTCTCTATTAATGTCTGCTATTAACTGGAATTCCTCCCCTTCCTGCTTGTCAAGCAATTTCATTTAATATTTCAAAAGTTGCTTATGTCTTTCAATGGTCTTTTTTCCTCCTTCTGTTAAAGAAGTCCAATAATTTTAAGAGTGCAGCAATCATTTAGAAAGAAAATCAGCAAGAATCCATTATAGAGGACCTAGTTCATACATTTATATAACCAAAGAATGTATAAAGCATTGCACATCCTTTAGGGCTTGCAATAAAATAAGAGACACATCCTGTTTTTATGTTCTGTTTCCTATCTGAGGATTTGGAGGTTTCTTCGACAATATGTCTTGTAGTTTGGGAAGTGGGTGTTGATCTCTCATTGTCTTAAGTTCCTTTAGCAGGAGATAACGTGGAATAGGCAAAGAGGTGATTACTGAAACCCTCCTTGTGGACAGGAGAATAGAGGGATTGCTTCCTGATGGAAGGGGCAGAGAGAGAGAGACATAAGCCCAGAACTTCAATGAGAGTTAGACGCCTAGTTCTCATTGATTTCAATGGGAGTTAGGTGCCTAAATACACATGAGGAACTAGGCCCTAGTAATTCACTACCAAAATATTCAATGCATATTAGACATCTGTACATCTGTGACAAACATGGGAATTGTCTGTAATATTTTAATGAACTATCTGCGTAACTAGTCTGGACTTATCACTGGCATCACTACCCAGTGAGGGGCAAGAATTGATTTCCTCCCTAGGGCCATGTCTACAAACTGTGGTCAACCCAAGTTATCACAGCACATAGTCACCAAAGCTTGTACGTTGCTCAAGCACGTGCATACTTGGCTGCTTGCATCAGCACTGCAGGTAGTCCCGAGAAGTGCCTCTATTGATATGAAGTATGGTGCACCACGAATAGGTGTACTGTATGCCATGCGTTGCCATCGGTGCAATGTCTTTTGGGAAATTTTCTCAGTGGGCTGGGGGCTAGAAGGGACTAGCCCAGGGATCTCTGACTGCGATCTCTGACTGCGGGGCCAAGTTCCCACCATGCAACTTTTTCCATCCCATAATGCCATCCATATCCCATAATTTTGGCACCTCTTTTTGAATCCCACAAACCCAGGTAGCGCGCGCACACACACACACGCATGCACAGAGAGAACGACACATCGTGATTGGAACTGGCTGAAGAAGGACATCAAACAAAGAACTGAGGATGGGATAAAGTGACCAGCCTGGCAGAGAAGAGGGGTCACTCTTCCCCGCTCCAAGGCCTGATATGCTACAGTGACCAAGAGAGACTGTGATGGAGCACCTGCCCCACTCTGGGCTCTAAGGGGTTAATAGAGCTCTAGGGAAGCTGCACAGGATGCAGCCAATCAGAGAAGGGCTGAAGGGAGCAGCCAATCAGGGCCAAGCAAGCCCATTTTAACAGGGAGCTGCAGAGCAGAGGAAGGCAGTTCTCCGCTGGGAGCTCAGGGGAGGAAGGAAGGACTGTGTCTCTGGAGGGCAGAGAACTGCCAGCACCCTGGACAGAGCCGTGCTGCTAGCCGGGATCGGGAGAGTGAGAGACAATTCCTGGCTGGCTGCTGGTGTTTTCAGGCTGAGATCCTGACGCAAGGACAAAGAGGATGCTAGGGCCATGAGGAAGTGGTCAGACAATTCGCTGCAGTAGCCACTAAGGGAAGTGGCTGAATAGCGGACTGCAGGTCCCCTGGAAGCAGGGAGCACAGTGTGTGGCGTGGCCGGAGGGCTGTGTCGCTGAAGTGGACGCCGCGGTCCTTCGAGAGACGTGGGTCCTAGCGCAGGAGTGATGGCAGTGAGGAACCACTAACACAGGGCTAATTCCTAAGACAGCCAGCAGGAGGAGCTAAAGTGGTGAGTGAACCCCATTACAGGGACATATTCTGCAGCAAGGATTTCAAGGACTTTGGAGCTTGCCAAGGTGTCCATGTGGCAGATGAGTGACACGTGGTCAGATAGGTTTGCATGGAAGCTGTTTATTGTTTCCAATATATGTTCTCTCCATTGTGCTTTTGTCCTGACTAAATAATACCTTTCATCATGAGAGCTGGTTAACCCTGTTCTTGCCCCGGCGACAGCACAGGACAGTAGGTGCTGAACTACACTCTGACTTGATCACGGTAAATTGCAGCATAAGTCACCAGTCTAGAGGAACCTGAGAAAGGTGATGACTAGCAGCTGGACACCTTAGTGGGGTGCCCTCAGAGGCCAAGAAGGAGGGCCAGTGCAGTTACCTCGGGAACCACGTGCAACAGAGATGACTATTTTCTGCAGTGTCTTTGTGAGATCTTACTGCATTAGCTTTATGTACCATGGGCCAGGGATTACATATAATTCCATAGGGGAGAGGAACTGAGAATGGTGGAGGTGATTAGGCAAATTCACACAGGTTGTAACACCTCCAAGGAGGTGTCACCATGCAGAGAGTCTCACCTACACTGGTTCAACTGGATTCTCCAGAGACTAACAGGCAAAGACAAGACTTTTACAATAATAGCCTGAGTTTAAACTGACGTCAGTGCAGATCCTGCAAACGGACAGGACCTTCTGGCCAAGGGGGCACCCAATCCTTCTTGGGAAGTGTTGGAAGGACTTTTGTCTGTTGAGACCCCATAAGACTGAGGGGTGGCTTCTGGTAACCTTTGCATATATATGTGTGTATAGCACATGTATAGTAACTCTTAATGTTTTTGTATGTTTTCTCTGTCATGCTTTCACCTTAAGGATAAAAGTGCTTGCTTAGAGTTGGGTGGGAACTTGTGACTGCTGGCGATTACAGCCATTCAGAGCCCACAGAGAGAAAGCAACGTGAAGATGCTGGCCTCGTTAGGCAGTCTGGCTTACAGGGGATATTGCACTGTAGGCAGGGAACTGTACAACATGGGAAAGACCCCTGTCGGAATGGGGAGAGATGCAAGTCTCTGCACAAGAGGTGACGGCTGAGGAGTCAGGGGGCTAGAGTAGGTGCCCTCAAGGGATCAGGGAGGGGAAACACAGGGGCAATTGCCCTGAACTGTGATACCATGACAATAGGGTTTCATTTGGGGGGTTGCCTTAGACAGGCAAAAGGGCTAGAGACTTAGGGGCTGTATTGTGATGGAAAATCCAACCACTTCATCCACTCCAGTAGTGGCACACAGTCAACATAAGGGATCTGGGCCTCCTGTTACACCCCACGGCGTAGCAAACAAACAGGGACATGATCTGCTGTAGCCAGGCTCTTGTCAGTTGCCCAGATGGCCTCTTGGGGCCATAGGCAGCCCTGTGTAAGTTAGAGCGGCCCTGAAGGTGCTGTAATGTAAACCAGGGGCCTGGTCTGCAATCAGGGAGGCACAAAGTGAGTCTCCTCAGCCTTCTACTGCTGCCCCACATTTCGTACCCTGAGCAGGCTCAGGCAAAACAGAAAATCAGAACCTTTCTTCTTTTTGGAAACAGAAGCCCAGCTTCTCCTTTGCAGGGCCCAGTGTCATCAGTAGCAAGGAGCTTGCCCAAAGCCCTTTAGCTCCTCAATGCAATGCAGGCTGTGGAACCAGTTTGCAAGTCAGCATCCCTTCCTGCCAAATTCATGTCTTGCTGTGATTAGGGAACTATTTACCTATTTCCACCTAACAGCAATAAGCCCTTGCTGTCTCTGGGTCTCCATCTAGTCCCACAGCTCAGATTGCATGGGTCCCTTGTTTGCTGGTTTTGAAAAGCAATCAGACAGCCTCCCACATCTGAGAACTTTGCTCCTGCCAATGCCAGCAAGGATCAGTTACGTAACTGCCAAGGGAAAGGGGGCAGTTCCACATTAAGAGAACTCCCCACACATATTGTTGTGTGTCCAATATTCTTCCAGTGCTGTGAAAGTTGAATTACTGCGAGTGATGCTTTCCCTAGCTGCCCAGACACACTTGTGAAGGGACGTGGCTTCCACAAACAAGACACATATGTGAGGTAAGGGAACAAAATCAATCTATACACACAGAAGGTAAAGTGGGACCACATGATAGGGACACAGTTAATAGGCACAGCTCTTTAACTAGTACAGATGACTGGGGATGGTTTTCCCGCAATGCATTTGGTTTGCTTTAGAATCACCTCTGCAACTTTACGTTGACTAATAGACCAGCTGGAAGCAGATATAGATAGATTAGATATAGAATTATATAGATAGATAGATTTTCATGCACAGCTAAACTTCTATGACAGGCAAGCCGCAAAGCACTTGAGACAATAGAAGCTAGGGTGTGCCTTATGCAAACTTTGTTCAGTTTTGACGTGTGTATTCGTTTCATAGCAGATGGCTTTAGAGAGTCCTCAATAAATACAAATGGATGCAAAAAGGTGCAATTACTGGGCAGAAAAAGTGCTAATTTAGTAAACAAGAGCAGGTAAACAGGATGTGTTTCTGTAGTGTACGCTCCGACTTCTGTGCTAGGAGGTAGGAACCGAAGCAACAGAGCTGGTCAGGAAATTATCTTTTTTTTCCTAAAAAAAAGTCAGTGAAAACAAGCAAAACCCCCAAACCTCATGGCTGTTGAAATTTTTCCATGAAAAATATTGGGTTTTCACCAAAAATTGAAAACGTGAACAGGAAAAAAATCAGTTTTCTCCTAAAACTTGAACTTATTAACAGAAAACTCATTGTCAGAGAAAGACGTAAGACATTCCAGTGGCTGGGAGCTGATGCTAGAAACATTCAAACTGGCAATAAGTTGCACATTTTTAACAGTGAGGGTAATTAACTATTGGAATAACTTACCAAACTGTGTGCTGGAGGCTTTATCACTTGAATTCTTTCAATGAAGCCTCCATGTCCTTCTAAAAGAGAGGTCCTGGATCAGCCACAAGATATTGGGCACAATGCAGAGGAATTATTGGATAAAATTATAAATTCTGTGTTTATGCAGGAGGTCAGGCTAGATCATGATAGTGATCACTTCTGGCCTTAAATGTTTGTTAATTACCCTGCATAAAAATAGCTATGTTGAAAAACCCATATTCTTGTTGCAATATTCGATTTAATAGGTCCATGTCTCTGTCTTTGGAGGAGAACTCTATCACTGCAATGTTCAGTGATCACTTAGTACTTGCAAGAGGGACTTGAGGCTGTGTCTCTTGCCAATTTCGGTTGGACATATTCCTGGAGATTTAATCACATGACTTAATCTTTAAAGATTAATGTTTAGTTCCTGGAGGCTCCCGGACAATCCTGGAGGGTTGGCAACCTTTAGTCTGGCCCCAAATGGCTGTGCATAACAAGAGATTCACAGTGCCCCCGCTCAAGCTCTCTGTCTGGGAAGCTCAGCCCATAAAGGCACAGTCCCCAGTATCACAAATACTAACTGAATTCTGTTGCTCTTTAACCACACATGAGCATCTGCTACTTAAGATCATCCAACCCCCTTTGTATAATGAACAGGAATGGCAGATGTGCCTGTTGAATCTGAGAGGCAAACTGGTAATTACTTTCTCCATAACACTGTCCTCTTTGTTTATAATATAAATTGCTGATTCTTTTCACTGAAGTGATACCAACTCTATGCCCTGAATTCTACCCACCAGCAATACTGCATGATCTCCCCCCAGTAAAGGGCAGCCACGGTGAAGAGAGTTGCAATTATCTGAGCTGGAGTGAGTGGACTGACCTCCATTAAGTGTTGCCTGGATGAGGAGCTGGAGCCCACCTGCTTTGAGAGAAGCGACGACATCGGAGGTATCTGGAGATTCACAGTAAGTGGGGCGGTTCATTGCCTGTGGAGTGAGCTGTTTACATGTCACTAGCTACACCTGTGCGTCCCAGGCCAGTAACCAGAAGACACTTTTCATTAACCAAGAAATGAAGTCAATCTAGCTCAACAGCCTTAAACAGAACTAGTTTGTTCAAAGAATGGCAGTGTCCCATTCGAACACTGGGGTGTGGCAGTCACCAAGCCTCTGTATTGGATGCAACGTTTGGATCCCGCATGCTCCCCAGGCCCCTAGGTTTGAGCAGCGTTCAGACACAGTGCCAGGATGCAAACTCTCTGGCTGGCACCCTCCATGCTGCCCTCGGCCTCAAGACCAGTGCTGGCCCCCCTCAAGTAGCTTATGCCCACTCTCACCAGAGCTCCACACACATGGGCACTTGGAGTTTAATCCTTCGGGGACACGTAACAGATAAAGCGAGGAATTCAGCCCTTGCGAAGGAACACCTTAAGCACATACACTTTACTCTCAGGGTATCTCTACACTGGAGCTGGAACTGTTATTTCCAGCTTGGGCAGACATACCTGCCCTCACTCTGGGAGAGCTGGCATACTAAAAATAGCAGTGGAGAGATGGTGGCATGAGCCATGAGCAGAGCTAGTCACCTAAGTACGTACCTAGGGTCATGGATTGTTTCATACTCGGGGTGGTTAGCCCCTGTCCTCACTTCTGCCACCATGGCTAGACTGCTGTAATTCATGTGCTAGCTCAATCTAAGCTAGCATGGGTATGGGGATTACATTCCCTGCCCCAGTGTGGACATACTTTTCGAACACATACGAGATACAGATCTATGGGAAAACAAGGAACACCTGAATGTAAGACCCTGCCTTGGCGACCAAACCCCAAAGGGAGTGGTGAGATCAGTGTCCTTCAGGGCATAGAGCCCTCCAGCCTGCCCCTCCTACTGCTCAGTTAGACACCACAGCTGATGTCGGTCATTAGCAACTACTCATTTACCAGCAAAAAGCAGTTTATTGAATAATGGCCAAAGTCCCATGCAAGCTGTGACAGCAGAAGCTGGGGCTTTCTGCAAGGGTGGGGCTGCACAGTACTTCCTCCTTCTCTCTTTGCCCTGCACCCTGCCCTGGCATCAGGGACCTGGGCTCAGCATGTCCCAGTGCTTCCTTCGCTGGCTGCAGCCCACAAATCTGCCTGCAGCCAGGGTTTTCCATGGACAGTAGGGGGCCGTGGAGGTCCACAGGGCTGCACGGTTTCTCCCACCAGCTGTCTGGGCTGCAGACTCAAAGCCAGCAAATTCATTACAAGGGGAATGTCTCTTCCAAAAGAATAGTCAATAAGCAACAAGCCAGTTGCTAATATCTGAAAGCCGTTAACATTAAGGTCAAGGGGATGGGATTAGTTCTCAGGGAAAATGTTGCTAATAACCACAAGTTGCCTTTATTAAGCTTGCTAATGATTGGCATCCACTATATTATTAACCCCACCTGATGGGTGGACAAGCTGAGGCACAGAGAAGTTAAAATGTGCCCAAGGTCATACCAGTAAATTAGTTGGCAGCTGAGGAACAGAATTTTAAGAGCCCTGACTCCCTCGTCCCATGTCTGTTCTTCTAATCCACACCCCGTCCTGGAAGTTCTTTCTAAAAAATGACTGGAGTTGGCAAAATATCTTCAGAGCTGCCTAGTAATTGGCCTGAGCAGCTCATGTGACAAAGTGCCACGCAATGCATAAGAATTCAGCTGTGCAAACCTAAGTGAAAACATCAGCAACAAATTCCCCAGTATTTGAGTCCATTGTCTTTCACGCTGTCCCTGTGTGAGAAGGGGAAAATCAGTGCTTTAATTCGCAGGGAGTGCAGAAAACACTTCAGATCCTGGCAGACTCCTCTCTGTCTGGTGAAGCCGCCTCCTTGAAAGCCCATGGGGACAAGAAAGGGAAGGTGGGAAGGACAGGAGTCACAGATGTCCGTCCCTCACATAGTCTCAGGGACTTGATTATGTGGAACATGCTCAAATGCTCCCTCAGGATGTGTCTATGCTGCAGTCACACACTGGTGGCTGGCCAGTGTCATCTGACTCTGGCTCACGGGGCTCAAGCTAAGGGGCTCTTTGATTGCAGTGTAGACAGTCAGGCTCAGGCTGGAGCCCACGCTCTGGAACCCTCCCCTCTCATGGGGCCCCAGAGCCCGATCTTGAGCCCAAAGGTCTACACACCCCCTTAGCCAGAGCCCCCCAAGTCCAAATCAGCTGGCACGGGCCAGCCATGGGTTTTCAATTGCAGTGTAGACATACCCTTGGTGCCCCAGAGAAAGGGGAAACGGCCCTCAAGGTTGCTGCCAATGTGCCACGATGGAACGTTCCTTCCCAACATCAAGGCTCGGGTGGTAGATGCCGCAGCCACAGTAGGACGGCGGGGACATGCTTTCTGGAGGAGGCATTCCGCCCACGGAGTGGTGACGCAGGCAGAGTGCTGCCATGGACACAGCTATCATAAAAGGCTGTAGAATGGCCTCCTATCAGAGTGCTAGCTGATGTGGAGGGGAAGAGGGCCCTGGCCTCAGATGACTCCTCTAGCAGTGCTCCAGAGGCAGTGCTCCCTCTGGAGTGTCTAGTGCTTCCCTCCACGCTGGATCCTGAGGGAATGCCAGTGTGGACATTCCCCCTGCCCTCTTTGCGGCTGCACACGGCAGAGGAAAGGGGCCCTGCTGTTCCCCCTCCGTGACATTTGTGCAGAGATCAGCGGTGATTGGCCCCAGACAAAGAGATCAGTTTAATTCTGTTGTGAGTGCAACAGCCTGGGCCAAATTCTAATTCCTAATCTCGTCTGTGTCCCGCCTTGAGTGGAAACCAAACGCTGTGAACAAAAAGGGGTTGGTAGGCGTATGCTCTCCCGGGCTGCATGCGTAGAATGCATTCACCCTTCCCTGTGACACTGTGCCGATAGGAACATGTTGAAGATGGGAGGCCCAGCCTTTATAAATCCGTGGTCAGTAACACCTGCAAGGAGATGTCGGCCTTCACAGACTTCCCGTATCCTGAGGATTTTCCAGTCTTTCTGTCCAACTCCCAAGTCCTGGAGTATCTCAGGATGTATGCCAAGCAGTTTGGCCTTCTGAAGCACAGCCAGTTCAAGATGAGTTATAAAATGTAGTGGCTGGTCCACATGAGAAGATAACAATCTACCAGAACTGCCAGCTGACGGAGGAACTTCTTCAGGTAAGCAGTCTAGGCTCATGCCTTTGGCGCCGAAAGTGCTGAGCTTGGATGGGGTCAGACAAGGATCACAGGAATCAGACACCTCTCTGAGTCAGGCTATTTATTATGTATAACTTGTATTGTGGTGCTTATGAGCCCCCATCCAGACCAGGGGCCAGATTTCTAAAGGTATTTAGGTGCCTAAAGATGCAAAAAGGCATCTAATGGGATTTTTCTAAAGCATCATAGTACCTAACTCCCACTGAAATCAACAGGAGTTAGGCACTTCTGAAAACCCCACAAGGTGCCAATCTGAATCCTCAGGTGCCTAAATACCCTTGAAAATGTGATCCAGGGCCCTGCTGTGATAGGCACTGTGCAAATATACAGCACAAAGACAGTCCCTGCCCCAAGAAACTTACAATCAGAGCTGGCTGCAAAATGGAAGGCCCTCACAAAAAATGTGGTGATTTTTCGGGAGGGGGGGAAAGTCCCAAACTGGGACAAAATGTCAGAAATGCAGGTTTTTTATGTTGTGGGAAGAGTTTTCAAGAAAAAACATCCACCTCGGAACTGAAACCTTTGCAGCTTCCCTGGGGATGTCAGAGAGGCAGAGAACCCAGCCACTCGGACTCCATCTCTGGCTCCCAGAGCTGTGGGGTGGGGGAGAGGCAGGGAGGCCGGGCGCCTGGACTCTGCCTCTGCAGCCTTCAAGGAAAGCTTGTCTCTTTCATTGGCAGAAGGTTAAATTGATAAGAGCATTCCAGGCGAGCAGCCAGGAGGCTGTCATAAACATTTTCCCGTCAGAAATTCAATTTTTTTTCTGCAAAATGGAAACTTTCTCGTGGACAACTCGGGTTTTGCAGAAGTGGCAAACTTTGACCAGCTCTACTCATGATTTAAATAAATCTTCCTCCAGGCCAAAGTCAGGGCTGTCCCCCTCCCTATCTGGAAAATGGTCCAGAAAATTTTCCTAAGCACACATTTTCGTAGACTGTTTACTTATATTTGTTACACTCTACTTATATTTGTTACACTCATATCTCATGCTGATGGACGATATTTGTTTGGTTCAATGATTCAGACCACAGTCATCAGTGTAAGGAAATGCCCAAATTTCTCTGTCACTGGCCAGTGGGCTATTGTCACGGAGTTTCATGGGAAGCAGGAGTCAGCTGTCTTTGATGCTGTTATGGTTTGCATTGGCTATCTCTCTGATTCATCTCTACTGCTGGAGTCTTTTCCTGGTACAGGATGTCTAGTGTTTACTATTAAGCATTTGCGTGTGTTTGGCAAGAAGACTAACAAATCCACAGATGGAAACATTTTTGTTTCCATGTTCTAATTTCCTGGATCTGGCAACTGCCATCATATTGACATGCATAATTAGGGAAAAGCTTTTGTTTTCCAGCTATCCCTTTTTCAGGTCTGGCTAATTGATAGGCATGCTTCCAAGGGACAAGATTATTTCTCTTAAGAAGGCTGTTCAGAGAAGCTGGCTGCACTAACAAGTTAGAAAGCGTTATTGGTGTGGGTTAGGGCAACAAAAATAGCATGGGGCCAAATTAATCTGTGGTGAAAGCAGACAAAGCTTCTGTGGAATTGCACCTGATTACAGCCGCATTTGAATTTGGCACATAATCACCAAACAGAAGTTGTAGGCCTTTCCCTAATCTTTCTCCACCATTTAACTTTGTCAAGTGCTTCTCAAGAATGAGGACGAAAGATTCACAGCAGGTTTTGCTGGTTTTTGTTTTTTTTAAATAACCTGCGTTCTTCCAATTGGTGTGTTAAACACAGCCGTCTCTCTGGACCACCAGGAGGAACTGGGTGTTGCTCTGTGCTACCATCAGTTTTTAAACACTGGCTGCAGTTGCATTATCTCAGATTTTCTAACCACAGAGCTCACTTTAGAGGGGGAGGAATGGACAACAAAGTTTCCAGTGGTACATTCCTAAGCGGGTTGCAGTGGGACTAGGGTCCTGTCACCAAATCCATTGCTGACCATGGATTAGAATGTCTTGTTTATTTCTGAACCAGTTGCCCTTACAAACATAGATCTACAGTAGGTCTAGTTTCAGAGTAGCAGCCGTGTTAGTCTGTATCCGCAAAAAGAAAAGGAGTACTTGTGGCACCTTAGAGACTATCAAATGTATTTGAGCATAAGCTTTCGTGAGCTACAGTAGGTCCAGTGTGATTATCCAGAATAATGTAGTGCTGTCAGGTCTCTACTGTAGCACTTTTTTAACGGTATAGTAACTCCAGCGTTGTTAGTTACGCACACCCACTCAAAGCCATAGAAATCACTTTAAAACATTTGGGGCCCAATCCTGTTTCCTTTACTTGCTGTTGGGGGCTGAGGGATAAGGAGGTGGTAGTTCCTTCTCTCCCCTGCTCCAGTCATAGATTCCCTGACCAGAAGGGTCCATTGAGATAATCTAGCCTGACCTCCTGTATAGCACTGGCATAATTCCCCAACATAATTCCTAAGGAAACATCCAATCTTGATTTAAAAACTGCCAGTGATGGAGACTCCACCATGACCCTTGGCGATTCTCCTAGTTCTGGTTTCTGTGGGAGGAGAAGCGAGACAGGGACAGTTCTATCTGCTTTCTCCTCCCTGGCTCTGCTGATCACCGTGTCTGCAGGGCAATCACTTTTCATTGATTCCAAGACCTCCTGCATAATACAGGCCATGGAACCTCTCCCAGACACTGTCTGCATCCAGCCCATCACTTGAACTGGAGCTAGAGCCTCCCTTTTAGAAAGGCATCCAGTGTGCATAGGAAGGTTCCAAGTATGGGAGAATCTACCATATCCCTAAAGAAGTCACTCCATTTCTCTGGAAGGGCCTTAGGACTTAGGTCCCCTCCCCTCTCCAGGAGCAAGTCTCCAAGAAAGGGCAAAGATTAAGGTTATTAGGACTATTTATCCCCTGAAAAATATAATAGCAACAAGCCAAATCCTGAAGTCATTTGTTTTTTTTTCTGTCCTCACCACCAAAACACACCTCCCATTAACGCCAATAGACTCCAGAATATGGCCCCAGATTATAATTGACAGTTATTTAAGTGATATTTGCCAGATACCCTAAAGTGCCATTGATCATCCCTCGTGTCAGTGAGACCCTTCCCCTCTTCCTCACAGGGACAGAGACGTTTCAAGGCAAGTACTTTCACAGCCGCCATTACAAGCATCCAGATGTGTCTGAGGGGAAGAGAGTCCTTGTGATTGGCATGGGGAATTCTGGAGTGGATATCACCGTTGAGGCCAGTCGTGTGGCTAAAAAGGTACAGTTCTTCCAGTTCCTTTCAAATCCGCAGGGAGGGTGATGTTAATTTTTGTTATATGCAGTGACAGGCAGCAATGAAGCCATTTAGAAATCACACAGAGCAAACTGTCAGGAGAAAGGAACTGAGAACCTCAAACTGTGGGGGTGCAGAGGAACCTTCGGGTGGGGGCAGAGCAGGGCCTGGGCCGGCCCCCACGGGGGGCGGAGGGGAGCACTATCCATCCCATCCCTGCCCCCAGCTCTGCTCTGGTCCCACCCACAGCTGTGTCCCAGGCTTCTGGCCCTGCCCCCACCGCAGCCCAACTGCAGCTCCACTCCCACCCCCGCCCCCAGCTTCAGCCCCTGGCCTCTGCTCCAGCCCTGCTCCCGACCCCAGACCCACCCCCAGCTGTGGCCCTAGCCTCAACACCCTTACCCCATCTGCGTCCCCCACCCCCGAGCCGCGGGCTTGCTCCTGGCCCCGGGGGGGGGGGGAATGGGGTAAGGGGGGGGGAAGTGACCCTCAACATTTGGCGACCGCTGTTCTAGAGGTTATTTGCACAGAATTGGAATATTGCTTTTTCAGAGACCCATGAGGCAATGAAAAGTGCTACCAGACCCAACAGTCTCTAGTCCTTTAACATAATCCAACAGTGTCTTTATGGCATTGTGGCTTCCAAGGTAGCGGCATTTGGACTGAGGAGTCCAATATGGCTTTGTCCTACCCCTACACCTCCCTCACACAATTCTGAGAGACCTCAAAGTCTTTGCTCATTGGTTAGCTGGGTAAAGTCAGGGGACAACCCTTGTCTGGGATTAGTTTCGTAAATGCAAGGAAAGCAATTCACCCTCCAAAGCTTTGCTGCTCTGTTGTCTTCTAGGTGATGATCAGCACTGGCCGAGGTGCGTGGGTGATCAGTTGAGTGTTTGACAATGGTTACCCATGGGACATGGTCTTCCTAACTCATTTCATAAATGTGATCCGGAATTCCCTCCCTGGGCCCAGGTGCAGGAAGGGGCTCTGAGCTGGGGGGGTTGGGGTGGGGAGAGGGGATGGGGCAGGCTCAGGGAGGAGACTCTAGGCTGGGGCAGAGAGTGCGGGTGTGAGAATGGGAGCAGGCTCTGGGTGGTGCTGACCTCAGGTTGGGGGGTCCCTGGAAGTGGAGACATGTCCCTTGGCTGCTTGGTGGAGGGGCCAGGCAGCTCTGTGCAGTGCGCGCTGCCTCCACCCAGAGGCGCCACCCCCACAGCTCCCATTGGCCACGTTTCCCAGCCAATGAGAGCTGCAGAGCCTGTGCTTGGGGAAGGGCGGGGACAGTGCATGGAGCCACCCAGCTGCCCCTTGCCTAGGAGCCGAGGAACATCTCGCCACTTCTGGGAGCTGCACGGCACCAGGTAGGGAGCCTGCCAGCCCCGCCAACCAGACTTCTAACGGCTGAAGTCATCAGGGTCCCTTTTCAACTGGGGTTCTTGTTGAAAACCAGATACCTGGCAACCCTAGATGTAACATAGGAATGTATAAATCTACACCAGAAGGCAGGGTTCGAGATGTGATCAGCTAGGTTTTCATAGGACAGCTGAAGAAGTGGGTCTCCTGGCCTGCTCTGTGTAGAGGTGTGGAACACTAGCATTGTACAGCCCCAGGCAGGGGTGCTGGAATGGGGTGGGCAGGAGCCATGGCCCTCCCACTTATTACCAGCCATAAGGGAGAGTGATGTTGGGGGAAGGGCGGAGAGGAGTGAGCAGCGCGGTGAGGTCTTGGGGGAAGAGGTAGCATGGGAGTGGGGCCTCAGGAGGAAAGGGCAGTGCACAGGAGCAGGACCTCAGGGGGGGTAGGGGTGGTGCGTAGGAGCAGGGCCTGAGGGTTGGGGGAGGGGGCGGCACATGGGAGCAGGGCCTCGGGGGAAGGGGCGGCGTACGGGAGCCAGAGCCATGGTTCGGGCACCAGTGGCCCCCCACTTTTAGGGACCTTCTGCCACTCCTGTGGCCAGGAGCTAGTCCTGCCCACTAAGCTTTCATTATGTAGAGACTCATAAAGAGTCAGACAGTTTTTGAAGTGCATTTCTGCTCTGAAAAATGACTCTGTAAAAGTACTGTGGGCGAACGGACCAGAACCCAGGAGAGCTGACAGTGATGTTTGCGTGAATATAGCAGGTTACAGGAGGGGTGACTTTAATTAAAGACTTCAAGACCCTGGAGTCTCGTTCGGAGTTGGGTGGGAAACAGAACCCTGCTTTCACATTTCTGAGTCTTCCAGGTTGGAGGTCATTCTCCAGCTCGCTGCTGAAGCACATGGGGTTGCCCTGGTTGCCCCAGCATTCTAACTGTTTCTGTTTCAATGCAGAGATGTGATACGGGAGCCTGTGCTGAATGATGACCTTCCAGGCTGTATCATCACTGGAAAAGTCTCAGTAAAACAGTCTGAAGGAGATCAAGGAAAACTCAGTCGTGTTTCAGAATAGCCCACAGAGGAGCCTGTTGATGTCATCGTCTTTGCCACAGGATACAAGTTCTCCTTCCCTTTCCTTAAGGAATCTCTTTTCAAAGTTGAAAAGAAGCAGGCATCCCTGTACACATATATCTTCCCCCCCCCCCTCATCTGGAGAAGCCAACCCTGGCCATAGTTGGCCTCATCAAGCCACTTGGCGCGGTCATGCCAGTTGTAGAAATTCAAGCTCGCTGGGTCACACGAGTCTTTAAGGGTAGGTGGAGCAGGAAGGTTAGTACGACGTGAGCACTTCCTCAAAGAAAAAGGCAGTGTTTCAGACACAGGTGGTGAGCAAGTGGGTATGTCGCCCCATGGCGATGCAGACCTCAAAGGGATTCATCCAGGACTAGGAAAGGTAGTGCTCATAGACTGGTATCTAAATTGGGTTGCTCCACACTTTACCATCTTATAGAACATTTTACAACCCAGTGGCATCCTTAATACATGAACAAGCAAAATACCCCAAGAATCATCTTGGAAATAGTGAGCTGGATCTGTCTGAATAGAATTGCAGAGCCCTGTTTTTTCCTCTAAGATACAGGTAACTCCCCTTGAAGAAAAGGGAAGTTTATTTGTATTCAGTGGTGAGAGAAGAGGGCCCTCTGTTTGTAACAATTGGGAAGCCATGACATGAGCGCTCACGTCAGCTCCTTGTGGATGGTGCAGTGGCCAGACTCACTCAAGAGTTTCAGGAGGCATTGTGTCCCCTTGAGGCACAATGCTTCTGAGAGCTCCCCCTGGGTTTGTGCGGCTCACCATGGTCCCCACCACAGTCCTGGGCCTTAAAGGTACATTCCTGACCCACTGATAGGCAGCTGTATCCCTTTAGGGGCAGGAAAAATGGAAGAGCTTTTGTGTTACTAGGCAGAGCCAGTAATAACCAGGATTCTCCACTGCTGCACTAAGACCAGGCAGAATCCAACAGGCTGGTTCATCCTTTTCTCGTGGAGGGAGGCAGTTTCTCATCACCGGAGAGAACAGTGTTACACTCAGGACAACCTGGGGCCTGATTTTGATCTCACATCCACTGGTTTCACGCCAGTGTTGCTCCTTTGGGGCAGATCCTGATCTCAGTTATATCAGTGTAATTTCAGAGTAAATGTTGTGGACTTTAACAGGGTTACTCCAAAATCACACTGTGTGATTGAAATAATGTTCTGGTCCCTGGTTCCTACAGACGAGGATTCAAATCCCAGTCATCAGAGAAAGAGCCTCCAAAGCAGTGTCTAGACTAGAATAGAGGAGGTTGTTAGAAGGCACTAGCTAACACATTCCAACTAAGATGTTTGAGAAGTCTGGTGCAGACAAAGCCCTGGTGATACCGGTAGTCTGTGGCAATGGTTCTCAACTAGGGGTACACAGAGATTCTCCAGGGGGTACTCAACTAATCTAAATCAGTGTTTCTTAACGTGGGGGTTGCAACCTTTAGGGGGGCTATAGGATGGGTTTGAGGGGGGGTCACAAGTGCAGGGCCAGCATTAGGAGGTGGCAAGCAGGGCAATTGCCCGGGGCCCCATGCCACAAGGGGCTCCATGAAGCTGAGTTACATGCGTCAGTCCCACCACCTGGGGCTTGGGCGTCAGCCCTGCTGCTTGGGGCTCGACATTAGACAAGGCTCACAAGTGAAAAACACACTGAAATGTAAGTACAATATTTATATTCCAGCTGATTTATTTTATAACTATATGGTCAAAATGAGAAAGTGAGCAATTTTTCAGTTATAGTATGCTGTGACACTTTTGTGTTTTTATGTTTGATTTTGTCAGCAAGCAGTTTTTAAGTGAGGTGAAATTTGGGGGTATGCAAGACAAATCAGCCTCCTGAAAAGGGGACAATAGTCTGGAAAAGTTGAGAGCCACTGGTCTAGGGGGAACCTAAGCTTCAGCCAGTTTAGCTCTTGTAGACAAATCAGTGTAGATTTGAACAGTAGACTTCTCAAACATCTTCACAGATTCAAAGAGTTTAAGGGCAGAAGAGATGTTAGATGAGCCAGTCCAACCTCCTGTATAGCACAGGCCTTAAATTTCACCTCCGCCCCCATATTGAGCTCAATAACTTGTGTTTGGCTAAAGCATCTCTTTCAGATGTGAAGACATCAAGAAACAGAGAAACCACTATTTCCCTTTTGTTTGTTCCAATGATTACCCACCCTCAGTGTTAAAATATTGCCTTATATCTAATTGGAATTTGTCTGGCTTCAGTTTTCTCCCAGAAGGTTAGAGAGCACCTCTTTAAATCCTAGACTAGACAAGGTGTAAGAGTGGGTGTGATTTGAGATGGTTCATTAGAACAATTAGGCCACTTGTCCAGCTGACAAGCCATGAGTTCTCCCTCCTTCGGGGAACAGGAGCCAGTGTTTCCAATCTGAGAACAAGCTTCAAATGACTCTGGCACCAGTTTAGCTAAATGGGCACAAACACCTGTGTGGATGCTCTTATTTCTGTGGTTTATTTCAGCATTGTTTAAATCTGCTCATAACTGAAGTAAGCTAAATTGAAATAAGAGCGTCCACACCAGCCTTTTCACCGGTGTAACTAAATTGGTTTAAAATCCCACCTGAAGTTGAACAGGTCCACCACTTCATGACAACAATCCCTTTTCTGGTTTCTAGGCTTGTGTCAGCTGCCTCCAGTGAGCACCATGGTGGAAGAGATCAACGAGGCGAAGAAAAACAAAATTCGCTGGTAAGCCTTGTCACCTAATGCAAAAGACTTTGAGCCAGATTTAGAAATCCCTGAACTTTGGGAGGTTATCAGAATGCAGTTCCAAATTTGGTGGCTGCTCCCTATCTCTTTATTGGGGTGTCCAAAATCTAGATGTGGATTCAATTAGCTTACATCTAGTGTGTTTGAAGTCCATCTTTTAGCTAGGAGCTATGTAATTATACAGGAAGTTTGGAATATCTATTCAAAGAAACCCGCTGATGATCAAGCAGATCAAACTGCAAATGAAAAAAAACGGGACTGAATTTCAATAGCATCTCCTCTGTTTTACCTATTGATCAGAATGACATCCCTTCCCCTTCTTTTCTGATTCGATAAGGTTCAGTTTGTCCTATGACGATATCCTGAAAACTGATTGCCTCGTGTATATTGATGAACTTGCCTCCTTGATCAGCACAAAACCCAATGTGCTGGCTCTGCTCTTCAAAGATCCAATCCTGGCCATGAACATTTTCTTTGGTCCATGCATAGTGTACCAGTACCGCCTGACTGGGCCAGGGAAGTGGGATGGAGCCAAAAATGCCATCCTGACCCAATGGGACCGGATAGTGAAGGCCACAAGAACATGAGTTGTAGAGGAGCCTCTAAACTTCTGTTTCAATTTGCTTAAACTAATCGGCCTTTTTGCTCTCTTCGCTGCAATTTTTCTTGGTTTCAAGTAGTCCTGGTGTGATGTACAAGCCTGCATGGATAAATCTTTTCTGGCTAGACAATATCTCTATATGGGGAAGCAGGAAAGCAATACAGACAAAGGTCCTGGAAAAACAGAAGGGTTTCTAAAGTTAATCAAACTTTAAGCAATGTCACTAAAACATTTCTCCTCTAACTAAACTATATACCAAGACCTGTCTACCTGAGACCATTGCACAGATTTAAATAAACGTGTGATGGTAAACTGGTGCAGGCCCCTATGTGGACACTCATTTCTTTTAAAAGTGATTTATTAGGGCTAGCTAAAATCTGTTAGGAATGGGCATCTGGGAAAGAGACGCTTTAGCTCAGCCGGAAGCTGTGGGCATGATTCAGGAATCAGTAGGTGGGATTCTTTGTCCTGTGCTACACAGGAGGTCAGGCTAGGAGACCATAATTGTCTCTTCTCCCCTTACATTGACATTTCTCAGATAAAGGAATGGGAAATTTAAAGTCCCTGGGTTTTAATAATCAGTTGTTAAAATCGCAAGGCCCCACACCTGCAAGGCGCTGAGATCCCTCAAATCTCTCTGGAGTTAGTTGGCATCAAGGGTGTTCAGCACCTCCCAGGGAAAAATCTTTGGTTATTTGCTTTTGAGGCTGGGCTAGTTACCAGCAGTCTCATCCATATGGCAATGATTGCTCCTGTCTGTGGCTGCGCTGCTCTTTCAGGAAGTCTTGGGTCCTGAAGATCTTGTGCAGTTGGCTCAGTTCTGTTCCTTTATTAACAATCTCTTTAAAGTAATAAACATGTCAGCTCTTCCAGAGGGTTTGCTTTGAATTTATTGAGTTGGTTGCCGGTTCTTCTGTGTGCATGCTTTGTGGGAGAACGGATGGTCCTGTGACTAGAGGGCTAGGGTGGTATTTGGGAGACCCAGGCTCAATTCCCTCCTCTGCCTGCTGGATTCAAGGCCCAGGTCCTCCTCAGACTTCCTGTGTGACCTTGGGAAGCCACTCTCTGCCTCAGTTCCCCATCTGTACAATGGAGATAATAACATATCCTGGCCTCACAGGAGTTTGGCGAGGAAAATACATGAAAGACTGTGAAGTGCTCAGATGCAACAGCAATGGAAACCATTTAAGTACCTTAGATTACTACAGGCTGTAGCATTAGCCCTTGAAACTTATGGCTTCTTTGTTTTGTTTTGGCTGCCGTAGACAACCCTTCATAATTTAGACAAGATTGTCGTTGTGTTGTCATGCTTTTTGCAGTGTCATAGCTATATTGATCCCAGGATATGAGAGAGACAAAGCAGGGGAGGTAATATCTTTTATTGCACCAGCTTCTATTGGTGAAAGAGACAAGCTTTCAAGCAACATGGAATTCTTCTCTGTGTAACTTGAAAGCTAGTCTCTACCATCACCAGAAGCTGGTGCAATAAAAGATATTAGCTCACACCTACCTTGTCTTAGTGGTGCTTTAACATGTCTTAGTTCCCACAGTTGTAAGTTCTAGTGTGGACAATACAAAGCCACAAACATTTATGTGATTAAAACTTCAAGGGTGTGGCTGGATAGCTACGTTTCAGCTGTCAAGTGGAGTGTATTTGTGGAGAGGAGCCACACCAAGTGGGAATGACCCAGCCAGAATTCCTCTAGACCACGGTCTTTTTTTCATAGGGGTGGAGTCTATAAATTTTCCTTCCTCTCACCCCCATGCTGATGCAGGTTTGCTGGCCAGTATAGATGGAGGGGGGTCATGGGCCTGCTCTCACCCCAGCTGCAAAGGAGTGAGGGCATGCACATTGTGACTTCACCTTTTCCCTCCCCCCAGCCACAATCTGGCCTTAAATGTTTTGCAGACCCAAGCAACCGCCTGATCTGCCTGCATGGCTCAGTCATCTTGGTTACTATGTGTCAGGGTTCCTTCCCCACTCTGAACTCTAGGGTACAGATGTGGGGACCCGCATGAAAGACCCCCTAAGCTTATTCTTACCAGCTTAGGTTAAAAACTTCCCCAAGGTACAAACTTTGCCTTGTCCTTGAACAGTATACTGCCACCACCAAGCGTTTTAAACAAAGAACAGGGAAAGGGACCACTTGGAGATGTCTTTCCCCAAAATATCCCCCCAAACCCTACACCCCCTTTCCTGGGGAAGGCTTGATAAGAATCCTCACCAATTGGTACAGGTGAATACAGACCCAAACCCTTGGATCTTAAGAGCAATGAAAAATCAATCAGGTTCTTAAAAGAAGAATTTGAATTAAAGAAAAGGTAAAAGAATCACCTCTGTAAAATCAGGATGGAAAATACTTTACAGGGTATTCAGATTCAAAACACAGAGGATCCCCCTCTGGGCAAAACCTTAAAGTTACAGAAAACAGGAATAAACCTCCCTCTTAACGCAGGGAAAATCCACATAAAACAAAAGATAAACTAATCCGCCTTGCCTGGCTTACCTATACTGGTTGCAATATTAGAGACTTGGATTAGGATGGGTTGGAGAAGATGAATTTCTGTCTGGCCTCTCTCAGTCCCAAGAGAGAACAAACATGTAAACAAAGAGCACAAACAAAAGCCTCCCCCTGCCCCCGCCAAGATTTGAAAGTATCTTGTTCCTTTATTAGTCCTTTGGGTCAGGTGCCAGCCAGGTTAGCTGAGCTTCTTAACCCTTTACAGGTAACAAGATGTTGCCTCTGGCCAGGAGGGATTTTATAGCATTGTATACAGAAAGGTGGTTACCCTTCCCTTTATATTTATGACACTATGCTTAGCCATTTAGAATTAGTGCATTTTTCCTTTTTTCTTGAGAGTGAATAGGAATGCATTTGAATTTCAATGCTACACAGGGGGAGGGAGGAAGGGTGTAAAGGTCAGAGGAGCTGAGGAGTGAATGAGCTCTAACCATATGGACTTTACTCTCTAATGTAATCTATAACCAGACAAAGTTAACTCAAAACCCAGTCAAATGCAAAACGAAAAAGACACCACAGAACCAGAAAGGTGAGTTTCTTTACTTAGAGTCCTTATTCCCGACTGCATTTTTCATGCTTTCAACAATCAATCCGCAAACTTGGCTGTGTCCAGAACCCCAGGGAGGACTGTGATTGGCAAGTGTGAAAGAAAGGTGTGGTGGGGAAATATTATGCTTTGTTTGAAAACTACTCGTTGCACACATACAGAGCAACATTTCTGTATTAATTCCACCATGTGCTGAAGGCACACATCCAGACGTGTACTTTTTGCTACGACTTTGGATAAAGGTAAGTAGCTTTTTTTTTTCTTCTATTTGTTACTGCTTCTGTTTCATAAAAGAGAGACAAGGTGGGTAAGGCAATATCTTTTATTGCAGCAACTTTTGTAGGTGGAAGGGACAAGCTTTTGAGCTTCATGGAGCTCTTCCGCAGGGCACTTATGTTCTTAAAATGACACTTACTGATATAGTTTATAATACGTATGTGTAGCTAAAGTTGTATACAAATTATGGAGTAAAATAAGTCCCATTTTCAAAAGTGACTTGGACACGTAGGAGCCCAAGTTCCATTGACTTTCAATCAGATTTAGGCTCCTAAATATCTACATTCAGTTTGAAAATGGGACTCAGTAAAATTGTTCGAAGTGCCCATAGTTCCTATGGAACAAGAAGTAATTAAAGTTGTAGGTAGGTTTCATAGAATCATAGAATATCAGGGTTGGAAGGGACCCCTGAAGGTCATCTAGTCCAACCCCCTGCTCAAAGCAGGACCAATTCCCAGTTAAATCATCCCAGCCAGGGCTTTGTCAAGCCTGACCTTAAAAACCTCTAAGGAAGGAGATTCCACCACCTCCCTAGGTAACGCATTCCAGTGTTTCACCACCCTCTTAGTGAAAAAGTTTTTCCTAATATCCAATCTAAACCTCCCCCACTGCAACTTGATATGCTCCATTTTTTTTAATTGCCTTCTAACTTTCTGGACAGAAAAGTACTAAACGTCCTCCTGAATTTTCTCATGATGTCTCAGATTGGGGAATTTGCTTAGCAAGTGTCAAAGAAATCATTCTACTTCTTATCTCCCTCCAACTGTTGATTGAATTAACCAATTTGTTTGACACCTGGGAAGCTTACAATAGGGTATGAGACTTTGTCTCTTACTGAGCATTTGGAAAGTGCTGGATTAGATATTTATTTGCTACGTAAGCAAAAATTACACGTTTTCCATTTTTTTTTTGCCCCCACAAGGTCTTTTGCTATTGCTTTATTGGGTGCCTTAACAGAAACCCAAACAGTTGAGAACATGTTAATGTACAGTTTTATTAAATATTAACTCTGAATTTCCTGGGTTTCCAATGT